CTCCCCTGCTGCTCCCCTCAGCAGTGTATTTCAGAAGATCTGCCTGTTCTGTTCCCCACTCTGTCTCTGGTGGATCCTCTCACCCCCTGTACCTATGGCCTATTCCCCAGTTCTTGTATGCATAAATAAATAAATCTTTAAAAAAATTAAAAGATAAAAATGACTGCATGTCTTTTCCATCAACCCAATGGTACATATTGCATAGTGAATAATTGTCATTTGTTGGCAATGATGTGGATAGTCTGTATTCTGTATTATATTAGTCTGGCAGAGAAGCAGGTACTAAGGTGGGAACAGATGTATATTTGTTGAAATGCCTATGAAAGAAAATGGGGGAGACAACTGGATAGGCCAAGGGTAACATCAGATTGAAATGCCTGTCTGACCCCTGAGATGAGAGAAAGATGGAAGGAAGAGAGGGCTTGGACTATCATGTAGTTAATAAAGGTATCTGTAGTTCAATGAGAGCTGAAATTCCTGGAGCAGAAGAAGGCCCCGCCCTGTAGGGAGGGACCCACCTGGGTATCCTGCTGCTCTTGGTCTTTGGCTGAGAGCTACCCCAAGGAAGTGTCACCTTAGCATGAGCATGAAGGTGGCATCAGAGGCACCTATGGGTTATGGTCTTCCAGGTGCAGATCTGAGTGGTGTGTTGTCATGGCTCCTGCCAATGTGACTATTAGGACTTTGAGGAACCTGTGCCTAATTATGGAATACATTAAAACTAACCCCAGGTAGGGCCTCCCCTGGTGGCGCAGTGGTTGAGCACTGGGCTGCGAGGCTGCCTGCAGCCTCTGCAACGCTGGTTCAATCCCCAGCCGCCGGCGAGGGTCCCACATGGTGCGCAGACCTCTCCTGCCGCGCCTGCTGCTCCCCTCAGCCTTGTACTTAGTCAGTCTGCCTGTTCTGTTCCCCGCTCTGGCTCTGGTGAATTCTCTCACCCTCCCGTGCTTCTGACTGTACCCAGTGCTTGTATAAATAAATAAATAAATCTTTAAAACAAAACAAAACAAAAACCTAACCCCAGGTAGAGGAAGCCAGATGCTAAATTTCTATAGAGATAGAAATATAGACTTAAGTCCATGACACAATCTCTTTATTGATATATCTATTTTTAGCCTTTTAAAATGGAAGTTATGAATTAAATTCCATGTGGGAACTTACTTGGTTTGCAGATTGCATAGTCGCCAGAATGTGTGCTTAAAAATGGGCTGGACTTTGTGTAAGTAAGGCTGGGGCTTAGGTACTATTATGAACTCCTGGGACTCTCAGTCCTACAGGAGGGGAAAAAAAACAAAGATTTCGGAAAGAAAATAGCTGTGCTTTGAAAGTCATATTTGGAAACTACCTTGATTGTGATGCTTAAAGTGCTTTCATTTAAGAAAAACCTCTCTCGCTGTTCCCCTCAGCAGTGTTTTCTGTCGTCTGCCTGTTCTGCTCCCTGCTCTGTCTCTGGTGAATCCTCTCACCCTCTTGCACTTCTGGTCTGTACCCCAGTTCTTGTATAGGTAAATAAATCTTTAAAAAAAAGAAAAACCTCTCTCGGCATCTGTTATGCATTCTGGAGCTGAAATCTTGTCGAATATCAGGAAGGTGAACTGAAGACTTATATAGAGTCTATAGAACCAAATTGGTCTTATAGAAAGTTTTAATATAGACCTCATTCCTAGGTCCCAAACCTCAGTGTTTGGAAAGAGTGGTCTGCCCTCCTTGCTCCCTCCTTCCTTACCTACTTCCCTCTCCTACTTCCCAACAGCCCCTTCTTTTCCTCTCCAACAACAGAGTCAAAGCTGGTGCTTATTGTGAGCTTGTGTGTGGCTCCTGGGCTAGTCCCTTGTTGCCACACCTGCTTCTCACCAGGCTTAGCCAACAGCTTCCCTTTCCCTTCACAGTCAGACCTACTTCCCCTCTTTTAGCCTCTGGGCCATATTAGCCATTGGACTTTTTATTTTTTTATTTTTTTATTTTTATACAAGAGCAGGGGTACAGACAGGCACGGGAGGGTGAGAGGATTCACCAGAGCCAGAGCAGGGAGCAGAACAGGCAGACTGACTGAAATGCACTGCTGAGGGGAGCAGCGGGCGAGTCAGGAGAGGTCTGCTGTGCCATGAGGGTTGCTCCCTGGCCGGCCCGGAATTGAACTCACGCTGTAGAGGCTGCGGACAGCTTCACAGCACTGCGCTCAACCCGCTGTGCCACCAGGGAGGTCCCTAGCCATTGGGTTTTTGCAAAAAAAGATAGAAGTTTGACCTAGGTGTTAAGATTTCAAAGGGTATTTTCAAAGTAGTTTATCTGATTGGTTTATATTCATGAAAATATTGCATGCTCATTATCTGAAAGTTGAAAAAACTGGGAGCGAGTATGAGAAGAATGAAAGAGAAGTGGCTGAGTGCCATCGACTCACTTTGGACTTGACCTTCTGATGGTCTGTGTCTGACCTCATCTTCCCATATACCTGGGCCTGGTCTGAGTTCAGGACACAGCCTGGGTGCCCTCCCAGGGTCATCCCAGGACACTGTCGTTGGACAGGGGTCCAAAATCTCAGTCTTCTGTATAAATAAGCCAGCAATCCATAGAGCCAGCAATCCAGAGAGATCAGAGAGCAAATTAAGTAAGAAGCCGCAAGAATGGAGATCAGAAAACCAGGCTGACTAAGAAGGTTTGAAGGAAAGCGTAGAACCTGTATCTTGTCCATGTTGGCCAAGAGTGAAGCTATTCAAGGCAATAAACTAGGGTAGATGATTGGAAAAATAGGCGTCATTTATTAAAATGGTGGCTTTATTGAGGTCGTCACACACCACACACAATTACCCACTTAAAGTGTACAATTCACTGATTTTTGGCATATTTGAAGAGTTGATTACAGTGTATGCATCTCCACAATTAATTTTACTACATTTTCATCCCCCACAAAAGAAACCTGCATGTGTTAACCATCATTCCTCATTTCCTCTCAATTTCCCCAGCCTCAGGCAACCAACATTCTGCTTCATTTCTGCATGCGTTTACCTATTCTAGACATTTCATGTAACTGGAATCATACAATATTTGATCTTTTGTGTTTGGGTTCTTTTATGTACATCATATTTTCAAGGCCCACCCATGTTATGGCATGCATGTATCAGTATTAATTTTTATTGAAATGACTGAATAATGGCATGGATATACTATTATTGTATGGATATAACTATTGTATGGATAGAACCACATTTATTTATCCATTCAATAGTTGACAGGTATTTGGGTTATTTCCTTCTGACCTATTATGAATAATGCAGCTCTGAATATGTATATACATGTCTTTTTGTATAGAATTACCTTTATTTCTTACCAGTAATTCCTAGGAGTGGTGTTGCTTGGTCATAGGGTAACTCTGTTTAAACTTTTGATAAATTGCCAGACTGTTTCTAAAGCACTGTATCATTTAATATGTATGTATGTATGACGTTTCCAATTTTTCTACCTCCTGGCGACACTTGTTTTTACTGTCTTTTTGATTCCAACCATCATAGTGTTGTGAGTGGGATCCATTGTGGTTTAGATTTGCTTTTCTCTGCAAAGACTGTTGAGTACCTTTTCATGTGCGTGTTTGCCATTTATGTATCATTTTTAGGAAAATGTCCGTCCAGATTCTTTGGCCATTTTGAAATTAGGTTATTTGTGGTTTTTTTAAATTACTTTTTAAAATTTATTTATGCATACAAGAACTGGGGTACGAGCCAGAGGTATGGGGGTTGAGAGGATTCACCAGAGACAGAGTGGGGAGCAGAATAGGCAGATTTACTGAAATACACTGATGAGGGGAGCAGTGGGTGAGACAGGAGAGGTCTGCTGTGCCATGTGGGTCACCTCCCTGGCCGGGGATTGAACTTGTGCTGCAGTCGCTGTGGATTGCTTCATAGTGCTAATGCTTAACCCCTTGCACCGCCAGGGAGGCGCTATTTGTCTTTTTATTATTGAATTGAGTGAGTTCTTTGTATATGCTAGTACTGTACAAATCTTTTATCAGATATGTGATTTGCACACATTTTCACATATTCTTTGTAATGTCCATTCACATTCTTGGTGTGTCCTTTGAAGTACCAAAGCTTAAGTTTTAATGATATCTATTAAATCTGTTTTTTCCTTTGGGTTACTCGTACTTTTGGTGTTGCATCTTAGATGCCATCAGCAAATGTAAGGCCATGTAAATTTATGCCAGTGTTTTCTTCTAAGTGTTCCTTAGTTTTAATTCTTACATTTAGGTCTTCGATATATTTTCAATTACTTTTTGTATTCTTTGAATGTGGATATTTGGTTATACTATCCCTATTTGTTTAAAAGACTATTCTTGCAACCATTGATTTATCTCACATCCTTGTTGTATGAGGTACTACACTACTTTGTAGGCAAGTTTTCTTATAGTGGTTTTTTGAAATTTAGATTTTTTTTGTCACTGAATAGTTTATTTACAGGAAACTGCATTTTAAAATTTATCTTTTACTATGTGTGCATGGAGAGATTGCCTTTAATAGAATGAAGCATAGTAGAGGGTGCTAAATATGTATGTAGAGGATTATGCTAAATATCCTTGTAGAACAAGCCAAAATATATATTTACCCAGGTGGAACCAGGACACTTGGAATAGGGATCTCCCGAGCCAGTGCAACTTCATTTTACTATGCATTGGGAATTCCCTGGAGAGCTTGTTAAAATGCACATTCTCTTTCTGGTCTGGGAATGGAGTCTGAGCTTCTGCATTACTATAAGCTCCAGGCCATGCTGATGGTGCCAGACCTGGAACTTGCAAGGTGAGGGGAACTTTCCAGCGTGATCTTGTGTAGTGGGGTTCCACCTGCTCATTTACAGTGACTTGGAGGAGAAATAAAAATGGTTTTTCTTGACTTCAATGTTTTTGTATTTTATTTAGTAATCTCCAAAAAAAGCACCACAAAGAGAAAGAGATTAAAAGTGTCTTCTTCCAATGGCACGTTTGCCAATCTTGATGATTTTCTTTCTTTTAGGCCTCTGATGATTGTCACTCAGAAGATCACAACCTTGGCTTTCCAAGTTCACGACGGTGAGAAACATTCCCCTTTTCGTTCTATGAGTAAACTTTACATGCAGAGCCCTGCTTCTCTACCGTGTATATAGCTGAGAGTTCACACACGTGCTGGCAGATCTTGCTCTGTGCAAAATTTCCAGGCCTCTTTAATCATAGCTTTTTACCTTCCCATCTATTAGTTATCATTGCCCTTTGGAATCTGTTGTCTAAACTTGCAGAGCTATTTGCACTGAGAACAGTGGGTTTTCTGTTTATAGTGTCTTAAGTTTCAGTTAATTTTTCACATTCTCTGTCCTTCATTTCCAAATCAGTAAAAAAGAAATGGCATCCTTTTTGCTTTGAGTGAATCTCAGAGACACTCAGGAGGTAATAAAAGATGAAACAGCATTGGCTGGGTAACCATTTTTAGTGCTAAATTTTTTCAAAATTTTTTTTGTTTTGATTTGGAAAATTACCTAATGAGATTAGCCTGACTATAAAAAGCTGGGAAAGGAAGAATCTTTTGTTTGTATAAAACCAAACATTTTCTTTGCTCAGGCCCCTCCTGCAAATGACCCAAAACTCTGATTTCCACTTATAAAGCAAGGATCCCGGGAAGGAGAATGGCACTTTCAGCCGGGCGGAAGATTTCAATATGGGCTTAGGACATGCCAGGTGTAATTAGTAAAAGTATATTCTGTGGATTTGTGCTGCCCTGGCAAATACTGTTGGGCGGTTGGGAACTTCTTTATGTGTTGACAGGTTGAGAAGATTTACAATCGCCACCAGCTAGTTTCCTTGTTTTTCCTTAAAGCCTGGGAGCTGATTTAATTTCATTTTGACCCTGGGTATTCCTAGCTCATACTTGATGACTTAGTCATTCTGTCGAGAATGGGGTAATTTTATATCAATGATGGAGCCTTTCGAAGGGTGACCAACTGGTTTGCCCAGAACTGGGAGAGGCAAGGAAAGATTTTCAGTGCCCGAATCAGGAAAGTTCTGGGCAAACTGGGGTGAGTTGGTCATCTTATTTGTACCTGAAAATCTGCTTAGTAGTGGCTAGAAACCACTAGCTAAAATCAATTTAATTTTTAGGATTGCCAAATATGTACTATTTGATTGGGCCTTGGGTCTGGGGGGAGTGTAATTTTTTTTTAACCCTGTTTGTTTTATTTTACTTAATACTTAGTCTTTTGGCCTAAATTTACCTTTTAAAGCATTCTCAGTTTATCCTATTTTCTAGAACAAAATTTTTTTTTTTTCTTCTTATTTCTTGCATGTGGGAAGAACAAGTAGATTCCAGAACATTCCGCCTTCACCTAGGCATGTTTTTGAGCTGCCTTTGATTGGTCACCATAATCAGCCTTAGTGAAAGTAGTTTTAGAAGCTGTTGCTGATTAGATGACATTTCAGTTTACTTGACTATATGTTAACATAGAAGAAAAATCTCCTATCATTCCTTTGTATTCTCCCTGCATTCAGGGATACATTTCCTGTTTTTTGGAAGTGGAAAGTCCCCTATTTCTTTCCCCACTGCATTCCACACCCATGCTCTCAGCTTGCACCTCACACAGTCAGGAGACAGAGGCAAACCTTTTTCTCTGGTGTAGCAACAGAACTTAGTCAGTTGATATGGGCTTGAACTGCATGGGTCCATGTATATGGGGATTGTTTCTGTCTTTGGTTTCTGCATTCACACGGTCCTGAAAACAGTCCCCCATGATGCCAGGTGGTGACTGTAATTAAGATTTTGGGGAGTTGGGGCCTCCGTGGTGGTTCAAGGAGTTAAGACTTAGCACTATAAGCTGTCTGCAGCTACTGCAGAATGAGTTCGATCCCTGGCCAGGGAGCTACCCACATGATGCAATAGAGCTCTCCTGTCTCGCCTGCTGTTCCCCTCACCAGTGTATTTCAGTGGATTTGCCTGTTCTGCTCCCCACTCTGTCTCTGGTGAATCCTCTCACCCCCTACACTTCTGGCCTGCACCCCAGTTCTTATGTGCATAAATAAATAAATCTTTACAAAAATATTTGGGGGAGTCAAGTTACATTCAGATTTTCTTTTCTTTTTTTATATTATCTTATATAGAAGAACTGGGGTATAGGCCAGAGGTGTGGGGGGGTGAGAGGATTCACCAGAGACAGAGTGGGGAGCAGAACACGCAGATCTACTGAAATACACTGCTGAGGGGAGCAGCAGTGGGTGAGACAGGAGAGTTTTGCTGAGCCATGTGGGTCAGCTCCCTGGCGGGGGTGCTGAACTCAGACTGTAGCAGTGTTAGTGCTGAGACTTAGCCCCTAGGTCACCAGGGAGGCCCTATATTCAGATTTTCAGTTTTGTGGGAGTGGAAGTCAGCACCCCTAACCCGACCATTGTTCAAAAGTTAACTTATAATATGATGAGAATATGGAAGGTTCTCTGGGATCTGTGTGCTCCTGTGCAATTTAAATAGGATTCTGAATTCCCTCATAATAACCTATACTTTCCTCATATACATAGTTTGGGGGGCACTTTTTGATTCAGGGCATTTAAAAATAGGAAACAGGTATCCTTTAAGATTTATGAAGCAAAAATAAATAATGTTTATTTTTAAAAGTCTTTGATAAAGACTCTTTTAGGAGTAGTTATTAACTTCACTTTAAACATCTTATTTCTAATTTTTTCCTTTCTCATAGGATTAGGTCGAAGAGCAGAAGACCTCTCGGCTGAGCAACATCGACTTGCTATAAAGTAAGTTCACTCATGTTCTTGAGACCTTTGTATATCAGTATCAGATCATCCTCATTTTTTTATATCTGTATCCCATTATATATGGACATTTCTATAACGGACCTGCTATTCATGGGCACTTGTGTTGTCTATCAATCTCTGGCATTTACAGATGGTAAGGGAAGAGTAACTTTGTCAATAGGTCATTTTAAGTGGGTTTGGATATAGCTGTAGGACAGATTCCCAGAAGTGGAATTGTTAGGCAGGAGGAAATAGCTCTGCAATTTCATCAATTTTGCAATCTCCTTTACTGTTAAGTCTATTTCAGGAGCTGTTTTTATTGGGCATGTGTCTGGAGGTTCTCAAGAAGCAGTTAATTATCAACCTAGGTATGATTAAATGCTAAATGATAAAAGATAGGAATTCAGCCTGGAGAGAGCTATAAGGGCTGGGGAGGATAAGAGAGCAGGAAGGCTGGAAGTGGACTTTAGCCAGTGTTGACATGCAGAGGCTGGCTGGGTGTTGGAAGGAAGGGAGGTGATGTGAAGTAGAATAGCATTGGTGTGGGAATGGAAATGTCAGGTGGGGTAGCAGGGGGAGAGTCATGCAGCCAGGTGGAGAGTGTTTGGAGATAACTGGGGTGATAAAGGGTCCCGGGTGTTAAGGAACTGGGATTTGGCCACAGTGGAGAACCCCTGAAAGATTGCATGCATTCAGTTCTGTGCTAGGCATTTTGGGGGGTGTAAATGCTCTAGGGCATATGTCTAGTGAGTGTCTAGCCATGGCAGAACTTTTCCGGAGTTCTATCCTGCTAGAAGGGCACGCCTCCTCCTTAAAACATGACACAGAACTGGTCCCCATAGAACTTTTCCTGCCACGAGCCTTGTCTGTCCAGGACCTCAAGCCTGGAGGCCAAGGCAGACAAGAGACCATTACAGCAGTAATTGTGGAAACTGGTTCCACCCATCATTTGTTTTGTATTTATTTTGGCAGTCTTGTAAGAGTTTTCCCAATTCAAAGCATCTCGATCAACTAACATTAGGTCAGGTTCCCACCCTCCCTTTGCTTTATTACCTTTATTTTCTCTTGCACACCAACAAGGCTGATGAAAAAGAATTTCCTTGCCTCAGACATGCCTTTGTCCTGGACCCCACAGTCTGTCTATAGCTGTGCTCGGCCAGCAGAGGACGCCATGGAGCGTGGCGTATTCTCTGCACCTCACTCCCCACCCCTTTAAAATGTCCTTTTAATGAACTTCTTTTTTTAGCCCTCTCTCAAGTTGATTTTTAAGGAAAGAGCGCAAAGGGGAATCATGCCACTAATAATCTCCCAAGACCACACCTGTGTTTCCAGTGTACTTATTTGCAAATAGGAAAAATCAAAGACCGAACTTGTTTATTTTCACAGAGTAAAACCTTCTTTTTTGGAATACTTAAGCTACCTTCTCAACTTCATGAGTGTCATTGCTGGCCCTTGTAACAATTTCAAGGACTATGTTGCCTTCATTGAGGGGAGACACACACACATGAAATTGCTGGAAGTGAATTCGAAGCTAAAAGGTGTCCACAACCTGCCAGAGCCTTCTCCCACGGTAAGTGTTCAGGGCCAAGCATTTACCCAGAGATCCAGAAAGCAGGGTCGTGTTGCCAGGGCTAACTGTCACTTCTACTGTTCTAATTAAAAAGACAAGAGTTTCCCCAGAAAGCTCGATTCATAACTTTGAAATACGTGGATTGCCATTTATTTGCTACCCTTCTCTGTGTGTATTGCACAGAGGAGCTCATTGGCTGGGAATGTTAATCCATTAATATTAATCAACATTAATCCATCAATCAATGGATATTAATTATTATTAGCCCTATTTAGTGCCTACCATGTGCTTGGCACTGAGCAACTTAAGATACAACCTATGAAGCTATCTACAGCCTCTGCAGCACGAGTTCAGTCCCTGGCCAGGGAGCTACCCACATGGCACAGCAGACCTCTCCTGACTCACCTGCTGCTCCCCTCAGCAGTGTGTTTCAGTCAGTCTGCCTGTTCTGTTCCCCACTCTGTCTCTGGTGAGTCCTCTCACCACCCCCCCTAACACCTCTGGCTTGCACCCCAGTTCTCATATGCATAAATAAACAAATCTTAAAAAAAAAATGAATGGAAATTCATAGACAGCCAGAGGAATCTGTCAAGAAAGGGGAGAGGAAGGGAGTGAAGACCAGAATAAATGTGCTTTTTATTGCAGAGCTCACCATTGCAAGGGAAATTAGTTTTACGCTGGCATGTCCAAAGCTCGTTTTATTGACTTGGAGTTTCAGATGGCTTTTTGAAATAGCATTTTAATTTTAATCTGAATTTTACCAATTTCAAATATATCAACATTAAGACAACTTTAGGGCACTTTACAAATGGGCTAAGTTTATTCAGACCAAATGTCATCTATATTGAAGGGACCTTTGTAATTAATTGAGAATAGGGGAAAGAGGAAAAAGTAGATACCAAGGAAATGTGTGTTAAATATTTTATAAATGGTAGCTGAGGTCTGTGCAGAATCAAGCATTTGAAAATTTAATGGATTTATTAAGGACATATTTTCAGAGAGTTTGGACATATTTGTGTCCTGGGCACTTGGTGGCGAGTCAGGTATTTCAGCTCCAGCTGTTTTATTGAAAACCTTGTGGGAGTGATGTCACGGGGCTGGGAGGCACCTGGGTAACCCCAGGTGTTTCTAGAGTAACTGTCACCACGCTCCTTTTGTGCTTTGCATGCTTTTATTTAGAAAGTAACATCAGAGAGCCAGAAACTCTTCCAGAGGACTTGCCTATTGTGCAGAGAGAAAGTGAGTGGCGAGGTGGCATTTTGCTTAAAGACATGTTGAGGGGAAGGGACTGGCACCCAAGGGTGCTATCTCCTCAGTGCAGGTGTCATAATTTTGGTGAGCGTGGTGAGCACATACCTGAGAGCCTGGCAGTGCTCTTGGATGTCTAAAAGTCCATTCACTTAAGCCCCAGATCTCCCTCTGTGGGAGATGGTATTGCTACCCCAGGTTACAAATAAAGCTCCTTTGTCAGCAAGATGGGAACTGTGATTCTGTCAGTATGAAATGACATTGTCTAGGGTGTCAGGGAACTGGGTGAAATCGCTCCATCCAGAGGAATGTCCACACAGCTTCACCCTGGGGCAGGCTACACTCGCTGGGCCTGGAGGCCTTTCCATAGCTCTCGCTGCCTGCCTGCGTCAGCTCAGGCATCTCATCACCCTACAGACGGAATCTTTTATAACTAAGCTGTTGTCTTTTTTCATTTTTTTTATTGGCAGCAATTAATTTTTTAAACGTATTTCTTTTCTTACATTGTCGTTCATTTTTGTGCAGTGTTTGGTTTCTTCCCTCAGGTGTGGTCCCCTTAATTTTCCCACCACCACAGGATGGTGATCCATCACTATGGTCCCAGTGCTCTTCTCTCCTCTGTTTTGACACTCCCTCCCTCCCCCTGCTGTATGCCTCAGATCTATAATCTCCTAGCAGGAAGAATGAGGGGTACCCTGAGACCCCCAAACCTGCATGCTCTAAAATCTTCTGCCATCCACTGCATAAAAACAAATATACTTGTGTGCATAAGACCATCAAATAGAAAAGAGCATTAATAGAATTAGTATGCAATAGGGAGATGAATAGTGTGCAGCAGAGAGAAGAGACAGGATATACTTTCCAAATGAAGCAGCAGTAACCCAAAGTTACCCATCCCCTTGTGGGTAAATGCCCAGCCAAGTGGGGCCACTGAGGTCCAAAAACTTGCCAAGACTAAGGCACCTCCTGGTGGGACCCATAAGAAGAGCAGAAGGGGCCAGACAAGTCTGGAAGGAAAAGAGAAAAATCAAAATACAAGTCAAGATAAAGGCTGCCATTGTCAGCCTCCCTGGGGGCCTCACCCCCATCTTTGTCTCTTTCAAGTGTCTCCTTCCCTGTCCCCCATGGGCATATCCAAGGCCAGTAGCAAGTGTGGCTTCTTCAAGTGTCTCTGCTCCACGTGCCTCCTTTATGTCTCACAGTTCTTGCTGACTGTACAAGTGGAAGGCGACTGGTTATTTCTTACTGATGGATGACTGTCGCCCTGTAATGTCACCTATTTCTCTTATGATTGGAATAATACAAGCCCCTACCCTTTTATTGGTAGAATTTGCTGATAAGAGTTACTTCCATTTTAGATAAATTCAGTCCTCAAGTTGGGGAGGTCTTTCTACATTATTTATTTATTTTAAATATTTATTTATGCATGCAAGAACTAGGGTGCAAGCCAGAGGTGCAGGGCAGGGTTGGGGGGTGAGAGGATTCACCAGAGACAGAGTGGGGAACAGAACAGGCAGCCTGATGAAATACACTGCTGAGGGGAGCGCGGGCGAGACAGAAGAGGTCTGCTGCGCCATGTGGGTAGCTCCCTGGCTTGGTTGGGGATCGAACTCGTGCTGCAGTGGCTGGTGATAGCTTGATAGCGCTGTCTTTAACTCCTGCGCCAACAGGGAGGCCCTCTTTCTGCTTTTAAATATCACACACATGCCCATTATTTCACTTGTGTCATGAGAACAAATGCCTGTCGCCACCCGTTCCAGGGACAATCACCAAAGTAGCCTTGTTTTAAATTTGCCAAAGTTGTTTTCCTCGCATGGAGTCTTCTGAATGGTGACTCTGACTTTCCCCCTCAGGGAGCTGTGATATCCAAGCTGGGCATGACCTTGGTGTCCCTCCTTCTATTTTTGACACTCACGAAGGCCTTTCCTGTCACCTTCCTGGGGGATGATCGGTTTGTTCATAAAGCAAACTTCCTGACTCGACTCTGCTACTTGTACATGGTCATGCAAGCCTCAAAGCCCAAGTATTACTTTGCCTGGACATTAGGTAAGTTCGCTGGAGTAGCCTGACCTAAGGGAGGGAGGAAAAGTTAAAGTTCCTTGGCTAGCTGAGCTAGAGCACAATGCACGTAGAAAGACAGTGAAGCCAGGATCATTTTTTGCCTTTTCAAAGTAGCATTTTTCAAGCTCTGCTGTCCTTAAACTCAGTTATTTTCCATCAAGAGAAAAGCAGTCCTATCTATGTGCAAATCCATGTTATCAACAACTGCTTCTACCAGAGTTAGGGGAAAATTCTAGAATGATCTGTCTTTTTTGCAGTTTTTCTGGGTTGTACGTAACACAGGATATACAGTAAATTGATTTTACCAACATGCCTGCTAATTCAGGTCACAAGTTGGTGGTTCAGATTTGTGTTTTAGAAAGAAACTGACTTCAAGTGATGTATTTTTTTTTGAGGTAGAGAGTTTGACTTGGTTTTATCACACCCTGTAATGTAACTTAGTCAGTATTAAGTTTTTATCTCTTTCCTTTCAAACACTTTCAAACACTTTCAGACTGGAGAAGTTAAAAGCTTTGCTAAAGTGAGCAATAAATGCTTCTATTTACTTCCCAAAAAATGGTAAAGGATTTTGATAAGCCTCACCAGCCCTCTCTGTTTCACATTTGAAATCCTTCCAGGGTAGAGGTTTAACATCTTTGCTGAAAGTGACTAGGACTTGATGTCAGAGAGAAGTGACTTGGTCTATTGAATCAAATGGATCATGTCCCGTAGCTCCTAGCCCAGGAATAAGGTCGTAGGACTTAATGAATTGACTTCTCCCTACTCATGCTCCAAGTTTTAATCCCCAGATTTGCAGCTGCTGAATTATTTTTTCACTTTTTATTACGGTGGTAAAATATACAGCAGATTTATTAACCATCGTGAATTATACAGTCAAGTGGCATCGAGTTCATTTATAATGTGTGGCCATCACCACCCTCCGCAACCAACCCCAGCAGAAACTTTGTACCCATTGAACAGTCATAAGTCTCCATTCTGCCCCCTTCCCAGCCCCTGGCCCAAGTTATTCTTTTTTTTTTTTTTTTTTTTTTAATGCCATCCTGTCTTTATTTAAACTTTTGATTTTTTTGTTCATTGTGGGTTTTTCACATTAATTTTGATTTAAAAAAATATTATATTAAAATATTATTTACATGAATCACTGTGTTTTGGGGCACCATCTTAAATTTTGTGCCCAAGGCAAATGTCTCATTGCTCAACCCTTGCCTCAGTTCTGTGTTCTGTTTCTGAAGTTTGGTGGTGGGGAAATGGGTATTGATTTTATTATTATAACTTATAGCATACTCATGTTAAAAATATTCTTTGGGCAGTAGACAGCATTTAATACAAGCAACTAAGATAAAGAAATCAGACTTAAAAAAATTAATTTGGAACTTTAGAGCCTGAAATAAAGGAAAAAGAATCCTTTGTGCTCCTGAGTCAAGCTCTAGGGGAGATTAACTACCTGTTGCTGCAGCATATGCAGTGCAAGCAGAAAAGCATTGTTTGTTCACATCTAAGTGGGTGAACGATAACTACAGGGGTAAGAGGAGCTGGAAGCTCCTGTCTACTTGCAGTTAGGCCTCTGGCAGCTCCGCTGCTGTACTCAGAGTGATTCTGCTTCAAGGCCCAAGGCAAATGCTGACAAATGGGCTGCGCGAGGTGGACTTGACCATACCTCATGTAAAACAAGCCCATCCAGCCATGTTCAAAGAGAAGCTACTCACTTGGCCCAAGTTATTCTTAAGGATGAAAGTATTCAGGGGAAGTTCAGTCAGTGCAGTATTTCTATAACACTTGGTCAGAGCGACTGGACTTAGAGCTTTTCTAAAATTTGCAGTGAGGGAATTTTGACTAAACTGGTCACATCAGTTTAGTTCAAGGAGTTTTTGTTGGGTAACAGGTTCTGTGCAAAGAGGAATTCAGAGGCAAGACATTTCTCTGCCCCAAAGATTGTGAGGCTCTGTAGGACACATGTGAATACCAGCCAGGAAATTGGCCCCAGAGGTTGCAACACTGAGGAGAGGCTAGGAACTGGTCCTTGGGGAAGGCTTTAGAAGTCTCCTTGGGTCCTAGACCTTTTTCTGTGGTTGCTTTGAAAGGGAACTGCTGAGAAAAAGAAATCTTTCCCTGTGAAAGAGTCCTAGACCTGGACATGTAAAGTAAATAAAAGTTTGCTTCCTTAATAAGCATATCTCAACAAGGTCTGGCAGCTTGCTAGGCTGATTGATCTCCCAGGCCATCCTGGAAATCGGTATCCTTTGCCTTTTTCCAGTGTCAGGAATCTGTATGCTAACTAACCAACCTTACCAATGTAAAGTGGTTGTGTATAAAAGAACCTCTTTGTCTCTAGACCAGTGCTCAGACCTTATGGGACTACCCAGGTCTGAGACCTTATGCATGAATAATAAAGCCTTCCTGGCCTCACCATTCCTAAAGTACCGCTTGTTCTTCCCCTGCCTGGGTAAAAGGCTAGAATTTATTTCTGCAACAGCTTTGTTATTGAAAAAGTGATCATTTAATGGGTGGGCATGACACTGTGGTTTGCACCTTACTTGAAAACCAGGCATTGTGTGTGTGTGTGTGTGTGTGTGTGTGTGTGTGTGTGTGGAAGAGAGAGAGAGAGAGACAGAGAAATCTCTCCCTTCTGCTGCAGCCTCCTTCCTCATTTCTCTTTTTCTCTCCCTTTACCCTACTCTTCCTGCTTCCATCTGTGCCCCAGGGCTTACGGGCTGCCTCCTGGATTAAATCAGCTCCTGATTTAAGGAGAAAAGGCAGCCATTCCGTAGCCTCATGGGGAATTCCAACCTGAAGTGGGTTCTGCTTGCAGGGGTTCCAGTTGAATAGGGGAGTCTGGTCTCACTTTCCCTTTTCGGGAGAACCCTAGATATTCAGAGTATAGAAGTCACCCTTTCTGTGGCTAGCTTTCTCTGTGAACTTAGCTCTTTTCCTTCAGCCCACCCCTTCTTTATCTTTTTTTTTTTTTTTTTTTGGTAGCTTCAGTAGAAACACTTCATTAATTTGTATGACCTCAATTTGAAGTTTGTTACAGTTCAGATTGCATGGGCTGTTCTGAAATTAACCTTTGTATTATTTATGAATAAAGAGGCAATGAATAGTATACCAGGGAATATTTAAACTGCTTAACTGAATCATTGTTTTATCTAGTTCCTTAAAACACCATTTACATATAATTGATGTACTAATTACACACGATTATAAATTTAATCCTTAAAGCAGGGGCTCTTAATGACTCTCAGTTGAGCTGCACTGGGTTAGCCCAGTTCTAGTTACTGTTTATAGTGAACTAGCAACACTATTTTCTTTGGATTTGGTGTGCAATTTTGGTTGTTTTCACCCTATTAATTAATGAGACTTAACTCTTGCCCAGGCTGTGTTGTCGAGATCACCGACTCCACAATACGGTGTCCAAATTAATTTATCTATAATAATATGTAAGAGACAGGTGCTATGCAACTAAAGCCAGTTTGGGACTTGGAACCTCTGTCTGCTCCAAGGCCAAAGCAAGTCTTGGATGGACTGCAGCGGGGCATTAAGGGAATCAGGAACTCCAGCATCATCTAAATGCAGCTTGGTGAGAGTCGCTGCCTCTGATCCTCCATCTCTCTTTGGAGTGACTTCTGGCCATTGGGATCTGGCTTGGTCTTGAGTGATCTTGCTGTTAACATCACTAAGCCTCAACCCCTTTAACAGCAAGATAGAACAATAGTGATGATAATGATGGTGGTGGTGATGGTGGTGTTGGCCAACTTTTCTGGAGTGCTGACTGCTGACTTGGGCCATTTGGTACTCAAAGGAATAGGTTTCTAGAGATCAGACAACCCTGCCCAGGCCATACATTTATTATGTTGCCAAGTGGAGATTGGAACCAAGAGCCTGGTCTTCACCACCATTGTCACTGTTGTGAACAGTGCTTTGTAGAGTCCTTGAAAGAGGGTTGTGATCCTGTTCTTTTAGATGGAACCAAATGTGCCAGATGTGAGGCTGGAGACAGGAGGTGGGAAGTTAGGGCTGGCCGTGCCGGTCCCAGCCTCTGTTAGCCACGGTTTTTAGTTGTCAACACAGATCTCAAGGTCCATGTTTAAAGCGATCCACTAAACTCTCCCTGTTTTAGTGTTTTTCCTGTTACTCAAAAATCTGTTCCCACCCATTAAAAATGACTTGTTTCTTAACTGGCACATACTCTCACCTCATTGTTTCCATTGGGAGAATGATAGAGCAGAACTCAATATTTTGCACCCTTTCTTCTAAAAGAACTAGATCATTTTGCAGTGAAGTTGCGCAGGAGATAAGCAGTATTAAACCATCGATGATGCCAAGAGTCAAAGTCACAGAACAGATTGTTTTAGACTTTTCAACATTTTTATTGAAGTAATGCTGGGTTGTCAACATTGTGTGTCATGCGTATATACTTCATCATGAACACCCCAAAAGTCCCGTTTTCATCCACTACCATAGACTTGACCTCCCCCTGTACGTGTTTTACCTTCCCTCAACCCCTTTGCCTTCTAACCAATAATAACCAATAATCTGTTCTCTGAAGCTAAGAGTTTGTTTCTGTTTTGTTTGTTCATTTGCTTTCTCTATATCCCACGTATGCGTGGAATCCTATGGTACGTCTGACTTACTTCACTTGGAATAATACCCTCAAGGTCCATCCATGTCGTGCAAATAGCAGGACTGAGTATTTAGAGTACCCTTCCAAACCCATCTTGAGTTGAACCCTTGAAGAAAAAGAAAGAGTAGAGCTACAGGGAAGATGAAGACTTTACAGTGCTGTGACTTCATTTGATTAATTTTTAAAGAAAATATTCTAATAGATTTAACTTTAGATAAGTGAAAAGAGAAAATCGCCTCTTGGTTATCATAATAAAATGCTGACTCCAATGAAAAAAGTGTTGATTCATCCATTCTCTATTTGATTATACAAACATTTCACTAAGGAATTGATTAGAAATATAATACTGCAGAAGGATATTTTCTTCAAGTTCAGTGATGGGAAGTTAAGAAGGAAACAGGAGCTTTAGACTGGCGATATGGGTGGGTGGCTTTGTCCCTGTGTGACCTCTATGGCAGCTGGCCCCAATTTACATATGTAGTTCTATTCTTTTTCTTGGATTCTAAACCTTTCTATCTGTACCTTGGCAGTCTCAGCTGATATCCCACTGGCATGTCCTGCTTACCCTGTCCAGAATGAGCTCTAATTTCTCTTTTGAGCTGGTCCTCTTTCTGACTTAATGCCATCTATCAATTAATGTTCCGCCATCTTTAATCACAGCTCTGAAATTTCTGTGGTCTCCCCTATTTCTTGTGGTCTCTGCTTCTGAGCTTCTCTGGCTTATTACCTTCCCTCCTTGAGTTATTCACTGAAGCCTTCTGCTTTTGGATTTTGATTCTTTGTGTCTCTTTTATTCTCATTTTGCATTCTGTGAACATCTTGCACCTTCTTACTTCAGCAGGTGCTGAGTAAATGCTGATGAACACATAAAAAAATGAATCAAATCGAGGTTGCCAAAAGAGCCAAAAATGTTTTTCTGATTCATAATGGTACCAAGTTCTTTACATCTTTTGGGTTTCTTTACCGAAGAAACTACGGGCTATCTCTCAATCTTGAAACTGCACAGACATTTAGTATTTTGGATAGCAGGAATGTGACTTTTGTTCCAAATCCTAACGCGTTGTTTTAAAAACCATAGCTGATGCAGTGAATAATGCAGCTGGCTTTGGGTTCAGCGGCGTGGATAAGAATGGAAATTTCTGTTGGGATCTGCTTTCTAACCTAAACATCTGGAAAATTGAGGTGAGTTAATGATGCTTTTGAATCAAGCTGGCATAGTGAATGTAGCTAAGAGTTTGCTTTGAGGGGTGCCCATGGAAGTTCATCATCAGGTCTGAGGGAAAGCTGCCTCCTATATATTTTGCATCTTGAAATTTATTTTCCTCTTTTTTTTTTTAAAGATTCTTTCTTGATAGTTTTAATGGTTCAAGGAATAATGAAACAAACAAACAAAAAAATCTGAAAAAAGAGCCAGGAAAATCTTTTCATTGTTTACATTCTTGTTCTTTCAACTAGAAAGTACAGATATCATTTTCTCTTGTTCACATTCTCCTTCTGTCAAGAATACAGATGGGAAGCCCCTTATTTAGATTTCAGTATTTCAAGTGTTCTCTGTGGTTCCTCTGGAAATATTTCACATGCATTCACCTTTAAGAATGAATGGTCTTGGGCCTCCCTGGTGACACAAGGGGTTGAGTCTTAGCAGTGTCAGGCTATCAACAGCCACTGCAGCATGAGTTCAGTCCCCAGCAGGGAGATACCCACATGGTGCAGCAGACCTCCCCTGTCTTGCCTGCTGCTCTCCTCAGTATTTCAGTAGATCTGCCTGTTCTGTTCCCTACTTTGTCTCTGGTGAATCCTCTCACCCCCTGCACCTCTGGCCTGCACCCCCGTTCTTGTATGCATAAATAAATGAAAATAAATCTTAAAAAAAAAAAAAGAATGAACGGTCTTGGTGCACAGCCTTTAGGCATCCAGAATCAGTGTGACACTTCTCTTTTACTGGCTTTTTCTTGGACCACAATTCTTGCTACACCTTCATCCTCAGAGATGGTCTCTTTGGTGCTCCATCCTTCTTGACTGGTCAGCTTTACGCACCACAAGTCTTGGACGCTTTCCTCCTGCAGCTGGGTCACCGTAGGGCGCAGACTCAAGTGTTGGTTGTCTAGTTAGGTGACTCATGTTTGCTCTTGGTGCTTTGATTTTCCAAGCACCTGAGGGAGAGCAGGGTGCCCTGGGAGAGTCTGGGCAGAAGGGGATGTGCAGGAAGCCAGGGGTGCGGAAGACTGACCGCTTGCGCCTACAGGAGTGGAAACTGCCCAAAGGTGCGACGTCCTCCATCTTTTTGACTGAGGATCCTTTTCATCATCAAAGAACTAGTCCCGGAGTCCAGAATCCCCTTTGCTTCAGCTTGTAGATTATCTGCAAGCTTCTCTTTTCTGTAGACATGATGTCATGGGGTGTCCAAGTGTGTTGTTGTTACAGCACAGAGTGAGGGGCACTGCAGAACCCCCAAACCTGCCCACTCCAGATAGGTTCTGCCATCTGCTACATCAAGACAAAACATAGTCTGTGTGTAAGACCTTAAATTAAAGGAACTTTAATGCAGTTAGTGTGCAACAAAGAAAAGACAAAGAATATTGTTTCCAAATCAAGCACCTGAAGTTACGCATCCCCTCGTGGGTAAACACCCAGCCAAACAGGGTTGGCCCAAAGCAGGGCAACAAGGCCCGAAAGCCTGCCACACATCTAAGTCACCTCCTGGTGGGTACCCACAGGCAGAAGGGGCCAGCATATCTGGGACAGAAGGAGCAAAATCAAAATCAAAATAAAAGCTGCCATTGTTAACCTCCCCACGGGTCCCTCACCCACATCTGTGTCAACCAGTCCAAGACCAAGAAGCAAGTGCAGCTTCTTCACATGCCTCTCTGCTCCATGTGGCTCCTCCAGGTCTCCTTCTGGCTCTCCATCCTACTTCCTTCCTCCAAACCTCTCCACCTTTTCCTCCGCCCTGCTCAGCTCCACCCCTCCTTGGGTGGGGCAGGGAACCTAGAACCTCCCCTTTTTCTGGGGACCACCCAGTTACATTATGACTTTTCTTTCTTTTTCCACTAAAATTCTTCTCTTCCTCAAAACACTAGGACTGCCTTGGAGGGGTGGGGTGCCTTGACTTGGGCTGTCCACCTATGCCTTTGGCGGGGCACCAAAGACGAATCCTTTCACTGTTGGATGTGTGTTTAGGGTAAAGGTTAAGCCAGTCAACTGTGTATTTATTTATTTATTTGTTTGTTTGTTTATTTATTTATTTATAAGATTATTTATTTATAGAAGAACCGGGGTACAGGCCAGATGTGCGGGAGGGTGAGAGGATTCACCAGAGACAGAGCGGGGAGCAAAACAGGCAGAAGGACTGAAAACACTGCTGAGGGGAGCAGTGGCTGAGACAGGAGAGGTCTGTGCGCCATGTGGGACCCTCGCCGGCAGCTGGGGATCGAACCGGCGCTGCAGAGGCTGGGGGCAGCTTCGCAGCCCAGTGTTCAACTGCTGCGCCACCAGGGGAGGCCCTCAACTGTGTATTTATTATAAAAGAAAACCAGAAGGAGAAAGTTTGTGTTTTCAGTGGCGTCGAGGTAGAGTATGGAGGTAAAGAAAAGGAAGAAAGTTTGATTTCGTTAAGGTGCCTGGAAGTATATGTAGCCTTTTATTAGCCTTAGAAGATGTGGAGAAATAAAACTGATTGGGGTTTTGCAATAAAGATCATCCATCATCACCCTCTCTCCTTCCTTCTCTCCAGCCTCCCGAGTATATGACACGAATTTAAGAGAGGGAAATGTGTAGCCTACATAAGGTTTTTTGTGCTTTCATAGGAAGCCTTGCAACTTCATTAGACATCTAGTTCTTGAGTTTCATGCTTATAACACCAACCTTTGATAGGATTTTTAAAAAAATTATTTATCTATACTTTACATCGTTGTTCATTTTTGTACAGTGTTTGCTTTCTTTTCTCTGGTGTAGTCCCCTTAGAATTTCCACCACAAATTCACTTGTGCACCATCACCATAGTCCCCTGTGCTATTTCTGACCTCGTTTTGCTCCCTCTCTCCTCCCTCCCCTGCAGAATGTCTCTGATTTATAATTGTCTGTTTATTTTTATTTGTTTTGTTGTGGTTTTTGTTTTTATTTTTTCCCCGATCCCTTATTTGGTTCCCTTATGTTCCTCCTCTAAGTGAAAGCATCTGATATTTTTCTTTTTCCTTCTGGTTTATTTTACTGAGCATGATCCCTTCTAACTCCATCCATGTTGCTGCGAATGGCATGAGTTTATCTCTTTTGATTGCTGAGTAATATTCCATGGTGTATATGTACCACATCTTCTTGATCCAGTCATCTATTTTTGGGCATTTGGATTGTTTCCAAGTCTGCAATAAACATAGAGGTGCAGGTATCCTTTTGAAGGATCTTTTTTCTTTTTTCTTTTAATGAGAAACCCTAGTTGGTGGCTGATTTTGGAATGGCTCTTCCTCTGTGGTGATTTACCTGCATCATTGGCAGTTGGGTGAAATTTCTTTGGTTTCTTTTCTGTATTGTGACCTCTTCATGCATAAAATGTCTTCCTATTCTAGATAAAATTGGAAGCGTTCGAGTCTGTGCAGGTATTTGTAGGCTGATATCACAAGACTGACCTAGTTTATAGACGACCACGAGTGAAAAGATAATTAAATTCAACTCACTCCATCAAGACACTAAATTCACATGATTAAACTTTTCCTGTGGAAAATCCCCCTCCAGAGTATTTAGTTTTAAAATGTAGATGACTGAAAAAAAAATGTTCAAACCAGAATGGAGAAAAACCCACAAACTGTTCCTTCAGTTTTCCTATCATTTGAAAATAAATTTTGAGAAACATGGGCACTTGGTGAGCCAAGTTTGGGCTGAAAGTAAGTCTCCTACACACTAGAAAATTTTACCGTGGAGCACAGAACAGCTGATGTGCTCCTGACAGAACAGTCCCCATTGAACACCTGCCACCAGGGAAATTCTGGGGAGGACGTTGCTTTGCATGGGGTATTTTTAAAGTTAATGATAGGTGCTATTTTCTTCTTTCCAGACTGCCACAAGTTTCAAAATGTACTTAGAAAACTGGAATATTCAGACAGCTACTTGGCTAAAGCGGTAAGAAAACCAAAAATGAGCTCATTCCTCATGGCACTGGGATATGTTTGGATAAACAGCTCTCGTCTGCAGTAGCAATGTCATCTGACACTTCTGTTTTGTACTAATAGCTCTGCCTATATATGAAAAAATAAAAGGCCACAATGAAGTATTTATTTTAATGTGTCAAACACCTAAAACTGGTATTTCTGTGCAGCAGGGACTCATTTAATCCTGAGCTCAATCCCATGAAATGTTGATAGTTATTAGCCCCATTTTATGGCTGAGGAATGTGAGACACAGCGAGGCTGTGTAATTTGCCCAAGGTCACACAGCTAATGAGTAATAGGTATGAGGGTAAATAGTCTATGTCCAGTGTCTGGCTCTTAGCCTCTCTGCTCTGGGGCCTTCACTAGCTGATGAGCCTGTTGCTCAGGTAGGGAGGGTGAGGATCTGTGTGGAATCACTGATAATCGTTGTCTTTGTCCCTAGCATTGCAGCGCTAAGGCACCCTTAGATGTTTATATTTTTTAACTTTGTATTTTTGTTGATATTTCTTTGACCTTATGTTCCCCTACACATTCTAAAATTAGAAACATTACCTAGCATGGAACTAATAACATGCTGTCCTTGAAGCAGCAAACACTAGTTAGTGGACATTCCTAGCACACAGTAAATGGAGAGGGAAGGCCTCAAAATAATAGCTGTTGCTTCTACTGTTTTTGATGGGTGGGTACAATTTTTTTAATTAATCAGTACATATGGGGTCCAAGAAGAGTTGGTGCATGGGAATGCCTCCAAAGTAAGCTCATACAGTGTTGTCAGTTTTTGAAAATTTGCACTTAGTAATTTCGCAAATGATATTAGCATAAACCTCTATATCTGTATATAGTGAAATCCCAATATGAGTCCTATAGTTTCCATGAGGATTTTACATTCTAAGATGTTGTAGCAGACATCTGCACATAAAAAAATGAAAAAGGATATGTTTATCAAATCATTAAATGTTACCTCATTAAAAATTAAAAACAGGGGGCCTCCCCTGGTGGCGCAGCGGTTGAGCACTGGGTTGCGAGGTTGGTTCGATCCCCAGCCACTGGCGAGGGTCCCACAAAAAAAATAAATAAATAAAAGTAAAAACATAAGATGCAGAGTAAGGAAATGACCTATCCAGACTTCTCATTTCAAAGAGAAATATTACTGGGTTTCCACTCCTGTGTTGTTTTCCCCAAAATTCATTTTCTTTCTTGCTTGAAAGAGGGGGTCATAACCCTTAGTTTGGATTTTAAAATGTTGTTTTTGACAACCCACGCAATACTGGATTGGTGTGCACTGTTTGACAATTGATTTTATTACATATTTGGGTCTTCTTGTTTCATAAACCATGGCGTGTTCTCCCTACAGTGCCTGCGGGAATTTGTAGAGTGGACCTGGCAGAAATTCCCCTATCACTTTATTTTATATAATCACTTTATTTTATATAATGAAAGTGCGAGTGGTCACTTTCTACCCAGCAAGACTTTGGGCCAAAAAGTTAAACAACCAACAAATCCAAGATCTCTAGGATAGTTGCTGAAAAGTTCTAGATCCCCACAATATTATTCTTTGAGGCAAGTTCATGGGCAAAATCCAGTGGCTCCTGTGGAAATGGAAGCAGCCATGGATCCAGCACTGACTATGCTGACGCTTGCCAAGGGAGGGAAGAGTCTGGGTGTTGACAGTTCGATGGCACCTATACCCGGTTTCAAAGACCTGATTCCAGAATTTCTGGGGCCATCAGCACTCATCTTATCCACGGGTATTCTTGGTAGATCAGGCCATTGGTAGACCAAGCGTCTGTGACGCAGAAAATAGTCTTTTGGGGTCCAGTGCACTTAATTGTATTTCCCCAAAAGATAGCCATGTGAATTGCCTAACTGGTGGGGTGCAAGAAAGCTAGAGATCAGGCTGCTTGGGTTGCATTTGGGGGGGGTCCCTGAAGAGGGTCCCTGGGGAGTGTCAGGCAGGCAGGCCTTCAGCATGGAGGCTGATACCTGCAAAGTCTCATCCAAAAAGAGGCCTGTGGCTCACTGAAACTTCCTCTTTCCCAGAGTGTGCTACGAGCGGGTTCCCTGGTACCCCACGGTGCTGACCTTCATCCTGTCTGCCTTGTGGCATGGTGTCTACCCTGGATACTACTTTACCTTCTTAACTGGAATCCTCGTCACACTAGCAGCCAGGACGGTAAGCTGCCTTGGGTTGCAGGGTCTCCTTTGCAGTCTGTAACCTTGTGTTTTAGGTCCCAGTGGGGGTGGGGTAGGGTATGTGGGAGTGATATTTTTAAACGAAACAACAAGTCTTACCATTAGAGAAACACTTCGATGTATAGGAACTTGTGGGTATGAAATGGTTCACCTTTTTTTTTCTTGAAATGGAGCATTTTATTGAGAAACTGTTCAAAGAAGGAAAAAACGCTGTCAAGAAAGACTAGGTGGAAAATGGGTTCTCAATAAAATGGAATTTTAGGGCAACTAAAGTCTAAAATAGTTAGGTTCTTCGTTTTATTTATGTGTTAGAGGGTGTTGGCAAAACAAAAGGAATTTTAGTAGCAATGTTTAGTGCCTTTACAGAGGGAGCATTTTTAGTCACTAAAGGCTGTAAACATACACAGGCTACTGATTACAGATGATGATTATTAATTAACAGGGGCTCTGTAGGCCTCCATTTTGCTGTTGCTGTGTTTCTTATTTCATTTTCCAAAACCTCAAAATAATTCACTGAGCAGCTAGGAAAATCGAAGCCTCAAGATCTGTGTTCTGTTGGAAATTGCTCCAACCTCTCATGTCTGATCCAATTGAATTAGTTTGTGTAAAATTCCATGAAGTTTATAAATTCAGTTCTCTAGGTTTTGGGAGTAACCTTAGTTTTTTCCCAGACCATTCCTAGTATTTGCTTGTCTTAGAGCAGGATAGTAAAGGAATGAACATTTTACTTGTCTTAGAGACTGAGAGGAACAGGTATGTAAATTATTACAATTCAAAGTGTCTGACTGTGAAATAGGTTTATATTTGATTAAGCACAAGAACTACTTCTAATGTTGAAAAAATTAATGGCCTAAAAAATGAGGAAGCAGTCTTTTCTGCTTGGTGGAGTCACTTACTGAGGGCAGAGTGGAATCAAGTAAAGTCACCAAGTACATTAAATTTGTCTTCCTCTAATTATCTAACCTTGAGGAGTTCCAACACAATCGAGTGTGATTATTTCCCATAAAAGGTTGTTTTCAGGGAAGTATCTATAATTGTATTTGATTTAATTTCAATCTTTGATAAGGATTGTGGCCTGCCTTACTCAGGTGCCAAGAATTTTTAATGACATTTGAAATGTATTTTGGATGGAAATTTAGGAGCTCTAATCTGTGTACTTGTGCATGTTTTAAATTTGCCTATAAATATTCCAGGACCCCTACTAGGTGCCCTACTGTGTTCTCTGTACTCGGTTACTTTAGCCCAAGACTAGGGTTCCCCACCCCTAGAATTTCTATTTTCCTTAAATGAAGGCTTGTCTAATGCTAGGTATGAGCAAGGTGGATAGCCCATGACTATTTGTGCTGATCAAAACACTTTTAAATTACAGTTGACCCTTGAACTGCACCAAGAATAAGGGGATCTGACTTCTGTGCAGTGGAAAATCTGCATATAGATTTTGGACTCCCCCCAAGCTTAACCACGTGATAGCTTGTAGCTTCCCAATACCAGAGTTGGCTAGCATATACTTTATGTGTTTGATGTATTATATACTGTATTCTTACAATAAAGGGGGAGAGAAAAAGGAATGTTAAAGTCATAACAGAAAATTCATTTATGGTACCGTATTTTATCAACAGAGTATGAAAAAATCTGCCTCTATGTGGACCTGCCTGGTCCAGATCTGTGTTGTTCAAGAGTCGGCTGCCAAGTGTTTATTGTAAAGATTTTGTGTACAGAACAAGGGGAGACATTTTCTCTTCCCCTGGTCATGTACCTACTTGGATTATAAAAGAAAATGAAAGAATAGGTAGCCAGAACAAACTAAGGAAAAGGCCAGAATTTTGATAATCTATTTAGAATATCACTCTTTAAAATGTCTTTTGTCTGTGATCTCTTCTGGCTTAAAAGCACTGATTTACATAAAGCTTGTCTGTCGACTGGTGCTTAAGAAAGAATACCTCAGACCTCAGAGTAGGGGAGATTTTCTGTGAGGCCAGTTGGGTGTCGACCATTCAACTGGGTCCTGATGCTGGCTACCTGGGGCTGCATCCCAGCAGGGATGAGGGCTCCATCACAGCAGACGGCACCCCTGCCCCTTCAGGTGCCTTTGTTTTTGACTAATCGGCTATTTCCACAACCCCTTCCTCAGTTTTGATTAATTTGCAAGAGCCAATTTAATTAATTTGTAAAACACTTTGGTAATGGCTGCAGCTGAAGTCCAGGTGGAGAGAGGTGCACAGGGAAGGTAGTGGACGGGACTGGGGCTTGGATGCCCTCTCCTGGCGCTGCCACCTGGCCCCCAACCTGGAAGCCCCCTGAACCCTGTGATGTGGGGATTTTGTGGAGACTTCATCATGTAGAGGTGATGGATCAGTCAGTCATTTCCCAGCCCCTCTCCCCTATCTGGAGAAAGGAGGCTGGGACTGGAAATTCCAAGCTTGTAATCAGGTCATCGACTTTCCGGTGACCAGCCCCAGCGGAGAACCACCCATGTTACCTCATCAGAACCAAAGACACTATCACCCAGGAAATTCCAAGGGACTTAGGAGCTGTGTGTCGTGAACCAGGTCAAAGATCAAGCATTAGAACAAAAGATACTCCTTGTGCTTATCGCTTAGAAAACCATAAAGGTTTTAGGAGCTCTGAGGCAGGCGCTGGGGGCAGAGACCAATATATGTCTATTTTCCATGATCTGACAAGTGGCCTGGAAACATCTTTCATAAATAAAGGTGGGGGTGAAAGGAAGCATAGACAAAATAGTATTCCCATTTTTTTTTAAACAGTGAATGAAATCAAATAGTCAGCAGGAGTCTTGGGCCTGGGAAGTTACCCAGTCAGAGCTCTTTTGTGCTTCCTCTTTGGCTCATGCACCCCAAAATACATGGAAGGGACCCCGAGCTCCCCCAACACGTCTAGCTGTTCACCAGCTGGAAACTCCTGAACACTGCTGAAGAGGAGTCCTTAGCTTGCCCATCGGCCGCTGTCTCAGCTCTGCCTTGGGTTCTTGAACCTGGAAATTAGGTCTTTTTGGAGGCAAATATAGTCACATGTGTCGAATGTCCTACAAATGACTATGTCCTATGATCCAGCACCTTCCATTCCAAAGAATTTTCTCAGTTTGCTCCTCGATAAAATGGGCATAGTGATTAAATGATAGGTTTATTGAGAGACTCAACAGAGATACGTGTAAAGCAGGAATACGGTCTTGGCCCTCAGTGAGCAGCCAGTATGTGGCCAATATAGCTACTTTGGTTCTCACTGCTGGTAATATCATGTTGCTGTTATTCAAAGGAAATAATTAGTACAGAGATTTCTCTAGTATGATTCCCATAATTGTTGATGATAGCAGGGGCAGAATACAAGCTAACTTTGATTAACTTAAGATTTTATTGGAGAGTAATATTAACAGACACAGAAAAAATTCATGCTATATCACTGCCAAAATAGGCTACAATTTATTAATGCCCAATGGATGGATATACGTGTATAAGTGGATAGAAAAGACTTGGAAAAGACATATGCCACATCTGAAAATGCCTTTCTCTGGGAGATCTAAACAGATTTTTCACTCATTACTTTCAAAATCTTTTTACAGCGAATATGTATTTTTTAATAATAAACCAGAATGATATTTTTAGTTGAAAATGGCACCCCCTTGGTCGGTGTTTTATAGAGATAGCCTATCTCCGTGCACCAAATTAAGGTGGTTTGTGATTCCTCTGCCCTTTGCCTTCCTTGGCTTGCAGGTGAGGAACAACTACAGACACTACTTCCTGTCTTCCAAAGCCCTCAAGGTGGTTTATGACGTGGCTACCTGGGCCGCCACGCAGCTGGCTGTCTCTTACACAGTCGCACCCTTTGTCATGTTGGCTGTGGAACCAACCATCAGTTTGTACAAGTAAGTGGCCACTGTTCTCAGCTGCCCTTCAGTCGATGGTGCGTCCGTTGTGTGTTTGACTCCAGGGTTGGTAACCAAGAATTTTGAACCTGGCTTCAGTGTGCAAATGCTGAGAGGAAACTTTCAAGAGGGATTGGCCATCTTGGGGATGAGCAGAGGTGATGTCCGCCTCACCAGCCATCTGCGACAAGGGCTGCTGTGGCAGCTGATTTTAAAGGGTGTATGTGGATGAGACTCAGAGGTTGGTTTGCTGCCCTGGCCTCTTTTTCTTGCAGCTGGGCAGGGCTAGGCTGGAAACTGGACATACTGAGGGCAGGCAGGAGCTGGGGCACAAGCCACCAGTGGGGTTGGCTGACTTAGGTGCTCTGCACCCCAGGAGATGCCTCTGGGTGTATGTGGGAGATTTATGTGGTGAGTTGCACACAGAAGAGATGAGTTTGGTGAATTTAGGTTGGAGATTGAGGTTCACACCAGAGAGAAGAACTCTCAGGGCAGAGGGTCAGGGCCTTAGTTCAAACGCCAGTGCTCCTGACCAGCTGCACACCTGTTTCGTGCTTGTTTTTAATGGTTTGACTCTAGACCTATTTTTCCACTCCTGTGCAATGGTAGAGAACATGGGTTTGTGAACTGGTTTTGTGACCTCTGCAAATTATTAACCTTCCTTACCAGTGTTTTCTCAACTGTGAAGCAAGGCTAAAATGGAATCCACTGGAAAGTACCTTTGTTAGGATTGAATGAAGCAGATAAGCAAAAGCCTCAGTCCAGGGCCTGGCCTCTTGTCCCTAAATGCTAACTTGCAGGATTTAGGGGTTTGCACAGGGTTTTGTAGGTTACCTTTGGGCATAGCTAGAGTCAGACAAATGACTTAGAAATAAGCAATGCAGAAAGCCTGATTTGTCATTGGGGGATACCCTGAGTTGAGGCCCCGGTCAGGAATGATTCAAGAAACTTACTGTTCAGTGCAGGGCTTTTATATTCTAAATAGGGCTTTTTTTAAGTTCTAGGAAATGAGAGTTGAGGGAAGTCTACTACACTTGTCCTTGACAACTTTTTCTCTAATAACAGCTCAGAGGAGTTATGGATAACGTAGAAGTTGAGCTGGAGTAGGCACAGATTTTTCTAGACGAGGGATGTCAAAATAGTGCAGAAAAAACTGTAATCTTCAGCCAAAAAGCCCCCCAGTTCAGCAGTGGCAGAGGTGGAAGCCACTCCAGCTGGGTGTCACGGTACCTGGGCTGCCTCGCTGGCCCCACCTCTGAGTATTACACCCCAAACCCCAGATCTGGGCTGTCAGCAGGGCTCGCCCCTCTGTGCCCACAGTCCACTGCCTCCCAGCTCCTTCCTGTCCTTCATTGTTTTCTGTGTTTTAACATCCCAAGGCAGCCACCAGAACCCCAGACACCAGAACTGTCTGCTCAGGTGCTGATGGTTGTTCTTAGCTCTCCATTCCCAAGATCTCACAGGTTTTGAGTTGTCTGCTTCTAACCTGGAGATTCCCCGCCCCCCAAACCCCAGTGTTTTGTCACATGTGTGAATTTTCAGGAATGCATGCATCATGCTGTAGCAGAAATGATTCTGTGCAGCTCAGTGTGACCTCATACCCGCCGCGTGCTGGGCACTGAGCTGAAAGCTGTGCGCAGAATGGTGAGCAGAATATGGAAATCATTTCTGTTCCTGTGGAGGTGAGAGCGTGATGGAGGGACAGGGAGCAATTGACAGGGATAAAGGCACACGTAGATTGTGCTCTGAGCCGTTGGTGCAGTGTTTTACGAGAGCAGGGAAAAGGGCAATGAGGCAGAATGGGCACCAAGGTGGCTTTTGGGGGGAAGTGGCACTTGAGCTAAGTTCTATGAGGGCGGAGGGCGGGGGGAGCACTCCGGGCATTGCTGTTGCTCCAGACATAGGAAGAACAAGGAAAGCTCACTGGTGAGAGACAGGAGGTGGCTCTGTGCACGGAACCTGAGAAATATGAGGTGGGCAGAGCACAGAATTCAAAGTGGAGCAGAGTGGTGAGCTGAGGAGAGAGCGGGGTTGGTGTCAGTGTCTCTGTTTATCAATGGAGGACATGAAGACTCAGAGAGGGTGAGTCATTTCAGAAAACTCACACAGCAGAGAAATATTAAACTGGAGTTTTAGGCTCAACATTCCTAGAACAGCAAGTCTGGTACTGTGGATACTAAAGATTTCCTTAGGGAGAAGCTATATTTGGAAGAAAATGACTGCGTAGGGATCCACTCGGTGGTGGTTTGTTTGCAACAACATGCATTTAACCCACTAACGTGTGTTCGTTCCTAGAACCTAGAGGAAGGAGCAAAGTTTTCAATCCAAAATACACTCAAGTGTATTTCCATTTCTTTTAAGTCATCTAGAACATGTAAAAACAAAGCACCTCTGTTTAGGATAAAGTGGGCATGTCTGTCCATTTTATTCACTTCAAACGATTCAATCTAATGTGGGATCATGTTTCTTACATACAAATCAATTGTGGGTCCCCCTCAGCCACCTTTTAACATTGTCCTTTGAGCTGCAAAAAGCACCGGGCCAAGGACAGGCTCCACATCTCCAGATGGATATCGGACAGTTGGTTGGGGCACGCCTGGTCTTTGCACCTGTAAATGGGCCTGGTGTGTTGAGCGCCACGCTTGGCAGTTCAAGCTTCAAAAGCAAAACTTGTGTCTTCATTAGTCTGCATGAAAGTGCTTTTCAGAGCAGAGCACACTGGCCATCCTGCCGGCTGCATGTGTGTGATCAGAGTGCAAGGGTTTGAATTGGGTCCTCAGACTTTGAATAGCATTTCTGCCTGGCGTGGGGCTGATTCTCTTGGTCTGCAGAATCGCTTGGTCTTTTATTTGTCAGGGGGCAGTACCAGGTGTCTGTCTGCAGATGGGCTGGTCAGTTTGCTCTGCTCCATCTTGTGGTTTGCCTCATCCCTGGCCCAGTCACCCGCCAAAGGGAGTCTCTTGTGACGTGGATCCAGACTGGGCTGAGTACAACTGACATAATGACCTTCACGTGACATTGCCCGCTCCTACCCTGGCATACGGTGATTTTTTGTGTGTTTTTTATTCCTAGGTCCATGTACTTTTATCTACACATCCTATGTCTCCTGATAATACTACTTCTGCCAATCAAGCCACAAGCTCGAGCTGAAATTCAGAGGCCTCTGAACTCTGTTAAGAAAAAAGCAGATTGACTGGCACCTCCCGGCGAGGCTGAACGTGGACAATTGCGAGACGTTGAAGACATGAAAGGCTCGAGGGTCTCTCGTGATGTCGAGCCAATGTTTACATGCATCTTTTCTTCTTCTTTAAGTCAGGGAGTATTTTTACAAAGCCTTTCTGCCCCTTCATGGCCATGTCCAGCTGCTTGAATATTTTCTAGGACATCGCGTGGCACGGAGGCGTCTGAAGAATGTGTGGGAGCAGCGGACAGTCCACGCCGGCTGCTTCTCTCGCCCCTTCACCCGGGGCTTCCAGCCACAGAGATCCTGATGCCGCCCCAGCAGCTAGAAAGCAAAGCTGACACAGCCTGTCTTCCAGAACATTCCCTGAAATGGCTGTCCCTCAGGCAGCCCCAGATCCTGGACCTGTGATACGAGTGTTTTCAACGCAGTAACTGCGCTCGGAAGAGTGGAGGCGAGGGATCGCCCCGGAGGATTGTTGGGGTGCGGAAAACCACAGCCAGCAGGATCCGCCGTGCACACCTGGATGGGCTGGAAGTCGGGCTTGCCCCCAACAGGGGTACAGCCGCCCCTTTCTGCCCGTTTGCCTTGTGAACTGAGCCAGACCAGAAGCCAGAGAGCCTCCTGCACACGAGGACCGGCGTCGGGGGGTGGGGTGGGGGGCAGAGGTTCAACCCTCCAGACCCCTGCCATGTCACACGTGCCACCTGCTGCCCGGATGCCCCAGCCTCCGGAGGTGACAGAATGTCTCCAAGAAACACTCTTTTAGAAAAGGGAGAGCTGTCCTGAAGGTTGGTAAGTGGGCGCTCTCTTCCCCCCGATTTCCTGAGGCTGAGGTCACGGCCATGACGTGCGGGGCAGGTGCTCACAGCTGGGTCAAGCCGACTCCTGGTGACCTTCCTGGACGGGGCTCCCTGTGGGGCTTGCACCGGGTGGTCTGTGGGAGAAGGAACACGGGGTTCCTGTCCTGGAAAGCAGCCATGACGACAATAAAGTACCCGCCATGGCGGCGAGCGCCCCATCACCTGGCGGGGGAGAGTTTGTTCAAGTCCCACGGCGACAATATTCCTAAAGAAAGGGGTTTCTGCACCCCAGGGCTTCCGCTTAGGGCCGGGACAGTTCACACCCTGATGCCTGTGTGTGTGTGTGCGCGTGCGTGTGTGTGCATGTGTGTGCGTGTGTGTGAACAGATGTGCACAGAGTTGAAAGTTTTGTTGCTCACACCTTGCTGTGTCCTGCAGGTCACTGTCGGGCGGTGCTGGCCTAGTTGTGGTTTCTGGTTTCATTTTGGCCTTTGCTCCCCATCCAGCAGGAGGCGGGTGAGGACGGCAAGCGGCCTGGAGCCGCGGATAAGTGTCCCTCTTCTCACACCCCCCCCCACACACCCCCACATTCCTGCCAGCCACACACCCCCTTAGGCTTCCTCCTTCCTCCTCCCTCCCCCGCCCTGCACCCGTCCACCCACCCTCCTCCCTCCCGTAAACCTCCCCATTGTCGTAAACATCCTCACAGCTCCCCCTTCCTCCCTTCCCTCCTCCTCTCCCTCCTC